GATTCAAATATAATGGCTGTTGCACCCACACATTTTCACCTGCCAGCTTTTCCGGCGTGATGTATTTGCGACAAACTATATCAATACTAGCACCTGAATCCCTTATTATAGGAATTTTATGACCATTTACGTAACCCATACTAGTATAAGGTAATAGAAATTTATCCTCTGGTTTTGCACTAATTCTGTTAAGATTAGCAGGAGATTCAGTACTATTCTTAAGTTTTGGACATTGGGGTCTTAAATGTTGATAGGACCCACACTGATAGCATTGTGGCGTCGTTTTCGTTTTTTCATATTTATCATCTGGACGTGGACTTCTAGGTCTATGAAAACTAGCTTTGCGAATTAAATCCTGATGACAATTTTTTTTTTCATTTTTAATTTTATTATCTGAACTCAATTTACCTTGAGTTAGTGCATTGTATCTTTCTTTCTGCCTATCCACTACAGGCCTTTTTTGAAAGTTTCCGCAAACATTTTCATAGGCATCAAGTTTTTCAGGTAATTTTTTAGATGAAATCATCTCTACCCACTCATCAAGAAAATGATCTCGAATTTCAGGAGGAACTCGACGTTTAAGTTGGTCAATCACCATCAAATCTAGCAACTGATCAAAAGTCTTAACTCCTAGACCAGTCACCCATTCTTTGCAATAATTTTCTATTTCATAATTGAAATCCACCCATGTGGATTCGGTACTCTTTTGATGTTTCATAAATTTCTGCCTAAACTTTTCCGGGCTTATTTAAACCGTCTTAACAATAAATTTTTCATGTGTTCATAGTCTTTAGCTTTATCGGAGGGTTCTCTAGCTATTAACTGGGTTACTTCGTAAGGAAGTAGTCCTAGTAAATGTGATAAAAATTCTTCTTTATCAATTTTAGCCCATTCTGCTTGCCTTTCAAACAATAGCAAATATAGACTGATATCTCCTTTCTTGTCATCGAATTTCTGCATAAGGTGACGCAGCTCCGTTTTCGGCCGGTTCTGTCCGGTATTTTGAGACTTCGTCTCACCATCAAATCTAGCAACTGATCTATCAACTGACTTTGTCTCTGCTTCAAGTCTTAATCTCTCTAATTCATACTGTTCGTTCCTTCTCCGCTCTTCTGCTTCTTCCTGTCTCCTACGTTCTTCTCTTTTCCATTCCTCCCTCTCTTTCCTTTCTTCTCTTTCCCTTTCCTCCCTCTCTCTCCGTTCTTCTATTATTGTGTCTAAGACTCCTTTGACGAAGACTTCATTATAATCTCTACTTTCAACAATTTTCTGTTTTAAATCAACTATTTTCAAATCTGCAGTCACGTGAACTCCCAGTTCAGCCGCGAGATTTTGCAAATCTTCCTTACGAGCTCTTCTTAAGTAAGGCATTGTTTCTATGTTTAAAATTAACGAACACTGTGTTCCTTATATTTCCTCAAAATAGCTCAAAAATTAAATATTTAAATTATATGAAGTTCATTCTCTCTACCACATTAATTGTGATTAAATAAGAATAATAACATAGAGCAATATATATATCTACCGTCTGGACAACTAAAATGAATATTAAATATAATATCAAATACGGTAATAAAATAAGACAATTTATTATTAACAGGAAGTAATAATCTGGTATCACTAATATTGCGTTCAGTGATGAACTAATAAAATAAAGCAATTCTATATGAACAGGAAGTAATAATCTGGTATCACTAATATTATGTTCAGTGATGAACTAATAAAATAAAAATACGCACGATTATTCGATCTCGCCGGTGCCTCCAAAATAAATTAAGACTGTATACTTCTTTCGCGATATATGAAGCAACTCCAATGATGGAACACAGCAATAACTTTTATTTAACACTCAAAAATTGCAACATACAAACAAAAAAAGAAAACATATTCTAGCATTTAAAAATAAATTACATTCTTCGCGCGAGAGTCGCACTTGGCACTCGAGTCTGGTTTCAAATATTGCCATTCACAAATACCTTAATGTTCATCTATTTAAATTATTTAAGTTACAAGATTTTAATACCATTTAAAGCTGTTATAACACTAGATGTACTACATATTGTGTTTAATGTGCACTTTTAATACAAAAATAAAATTGAAATTTATGAATATATGTTATACGAGGGTTGGAACTTTAATACTGGCAACTATTTATTTACAAGGAATACAAAAGTGATTCATGTCACCATGTTTTACAGTCCTTCAATATGGTCGCCAGCATTGTGTACAACCCGTTTCCAACGATGTGGAAGTCGCAGAATACCTGTAGCAACGCCTGTTTTGTTGATAGTTTGAATGGACCGGTCTACTGCCGCAAGAATCTCAGGAACAGTTTGGAAGCGAGTGCCACGAAGTGGTTCCTTGATCTTAAGAATTAAGTCATAGTCACAAGGGCTTAGGTCTGGGGAGTATGGTGGATGGTAAAGCACTTCCCAGCCCCATCGCTTGAACAAATCAGTCACAGCTTGCGCTGCATGCAGCCAAGCATTGTTATGCAAAATGAGAGGAGCGTTCTGCAGAAAGTGTCGCCGTTTTTTCTCAAAGCTGGTCAGAAATCGTGCACCAAAAATGAGCAGTATGCAAAGTATGAAGGTATGCGTTAGGATGACACCATCACAGTCGTACACGACAATCACCATAACTTTCACATTGCTGGGGTTCTGATGAAAATTCGAACGTCGTGGTGACCCATGATGACGGCACTCGTTTGATTGGCGTTTCAGTTCTGGCTGGTATGATCGGGCCCAAGTCTCATCCAGCGTAATGATACGGCGTAAAAAAGCATCTCCTTGCGCTCACAGCGCTCCAGGGGTTGGTTCGGGCAGCATCGTATCGTAGCCATTTCTGCATTTCCGTCAATTGATGTGGAACCCATCGTGAAGCAATTTTTCTCATGGACAGGCGTTTCTTCAGAATGTGCAGCACAGTCGTATGCGCTAATTCTGTTTGTCCGGCCAGCTGACGGAATTGTTTGGCGGCAATCACTGTCCATTAGTGCGGCAACAGCTTGCACGTCTGCATCGCTGACACTTGGACAACCTGGCTGCAGCATATCTGCCACATTTTGGCGTCCTTCATTGAATGCTTTCACCTATCTTGCTACGGTTCTCTAAGGCAATGCAGATTCCCCACAAGCCTCTTAAAGCCCTTGATGACACTGTCGTGCTATACGACCTCTGGCACATTCAATTTTTATCCAACATCATTGTTCTTGTTTTGAAAACATCCTGACAACACTTACTTTAGACTGCCAGCTAATACAAGGATCCGTTCTTCGTGTCACTCCGCATGCACATTACGTAGGCAGGACAAGTCTTTTTGCTGAGAGGTAAGGTAGGTATGTAGTTCACATGTGGTATACGCGATATTCTTTGGTTTTGTTGCGTAGCGTTTTTTTCAGCTGTGTTGCCACTATTAAAGTTCCAACCCTCGTATGATGCATATAAAAGTGATGGATTTAAAAAAAAAGGAAAAGATAAGTGTACAAAAATTAGATTTCTGAATGTACCTAAATGTAATGACCTACCTTATGAATATACATACCTTAGAAAAGAAAAGATATATCTAAAAGAAATTACGCCTTATGAACTTGAATTTTTTTTTAATCGACTAACATGTGATAACATAATGTTTCATCTTTACTATCATTGTTACTCTGGTCCATAAATAAATAATCATCTTTCATTCCATGTAGTTTGTTAGATGTACTATTTTTCAAATGACTTTTGAAATATGTTGGGTTTAATTTCATTCCATGCTTTTATTATCCGCCACACACTATTTTTGGACTGGCATGACACATTTAAACCTCCTTTTGTAAATGTTTTTTCAGCTTCTAACATCCACATATTCCACTGTTGTTTTAAATTTTATTTTAATTATTTATTGATATACATAACTAAAGACTGAACTAATGGTGTTAATCTGCTTGGAATAACTGCCATATCTGCATTACACTTTTTCATCAACTTATTCATATTATTCGTGTCCCTAACTAAAATACTTCGGATTCTTTAAGGCAATAGGATGCCTTTGCCAAACATTTCTTATCTACAATTTTACACTGTACCTCCATTCTATCTTGTGAATATGAAGGAAAGTACCATTTTTGAAATTACATGTCAGCTTTGTCTTTGTTCTAAAAATAACCATGGGTTTTAATTTTGTATCATCCACTTAGTAGGAGAGCTCTACGCTGGGGTAAGATTTTTCATGACCTATTGTTTTTATTTGAACGTTTTTGTTCTTTTCATATCAATGTTTTTCTTATTATTATATCAAACATTCATGCAGGACATGCATTCTCACTCCAAATTATGTCCCCCTTTACTCGAAATGCTAGAATAACATTCTTGTGCATACATACATTAAATAAAACCCACCCTTTTTGCAAAATTATTTACTCCCTCAAGCACTCCCCCCCCCCACAGACATGTTGTTCCTCTTATCACATGTTAATTCAGTATACAATTGTTGAAAGCCTGGGGGAAGTCTTTGATTGATAAAAGATAAGAGAATGACGCATGTATCATTCGGGTTTCTTCATAAAGAAAAGGGTGCATGTTGTAAGGCAAATATACTTAAAAATAAAAAATATATAGTTTGAAATTATAGGTGTGTGCTATATGCTGGGATATATGGTACATATTTTAAACAATTATTTGGGTATTTAAGATGGTCATTGGTCTTTTGATATTATTTGAATTATTAAAATTTGTTAAAGCTACTACCAACACTTTTCAAATCATCAAGTTTGTCTCAGGGCAAACTGTGAAGTTGTTAAAACATTATATGTACTATATAAAACTAACATTTGAATGTCTTACCAAATAAAGTTCCTTCTGAAGCTCAAAATAAAAATTTCTGTCATCTTTTTAATTAATAGTAAATTATTTTTATTATCACATGCAGAAAATTCTAATTTTTAAGTATATTTATCTCTTGTGATTAATTCACTTTGTCATAAAACATTACATTAAGTTATTCATTTGATGTTTTAGACAATTGGAGGCCATTATTCGAATATCTGAATCATTAGCAAAAATGGAACTTCAGCCTTTTGCTACTGATAGACATGTTGATGAAGCAATGCGTTTATTTCAAGTATCAACTCTTGATGCTGCTCATTCAGGTGACCTTGCTGGTGCAGAAGGTTTTACTACAGAAGAGGAACACCAGATGCTTCTGCGGATAGAAAAACAATTAAAAAAACGTTTTGCTATTGGTTCACAAGTTTCAGAGTTCAGTATTGTGCAAGACTTTTTGAAACAGGTAAGTTATAGCAGTTTTAGTTTTTACCAAAGAAATGCCATATGAAAATGTCATTGCATATAGTCAGACAATATATTGATTTACAACATCAGAAAGCAATAAGTTAGGGTGGTAGATTTTTGTTACAGCCATAACATGCATTATTGATGCCATATTTTCACATTTTTGCTAGTTTCTTTCTCTATATGTCTGGCTCAGTACTAGGTAAAATTGAAAGACTGTTAACAAGAATAAGGAACATTCTCTAATTTTGTGGTAAAATCCTTCAAAAACCCTATGTGGGGGGACGAACACAGCCTGTGCTTGTTTTGTTTTCTTTTTCTGAATAAGTTTTCATCAATATCCACTAATTTTTTAGCATTAGTTTTGATTTTATGACAAGATAACAAGAATAACAGGCATATGGCTCTCTTCTAGAGTTACTCCAATCAACTTGTATTCATCTTATGCAGACATTTGTTCACAAATCTCAATTGCATTCAGACATAATTTTCTTCTTGGCATAAGCAAAGACTGCACAGCTGTTTCAGCTATGAGTCACATTTTGATTTCACAAGATGGTTATTTGAACACGATCTTTTTTGTCTGCTTCTTGAAGAAACAGGATAGTTGCTTCTTAATATTTTAGCAAATGCTAAGCCATAAAATCCATCCCAGGGAGGGGGACCGACCAATGATTAGTGAAAAGTTATTTGATTTTTTTGATTTGGAAACTATGAAGTTTCATGAAATCCATCTAAGAATGTTATAACAATATAGTAATATATAAGGAGATGAATATTTATGTAGACTGTGTAATAATCTAATAGTGGCATTGAGAAAAAAGGGCTTTTTTGGGGGGAAAACAAGTTAAAATTCTGATTAAGAAATTTGGTATAATTTGATCCATTTGTAACATTAGCATGAGGCTTTCAGATATCATGAACTGTCCATATGCTGGGTATTTAAGAGCTTTGTGCAAATTCAGTGTCATTTTTTGCACAGTAAAATGTTAAAGTGGAATTAAATGTGGTTTTTTGTAATTGCAAGCCCAAAAGCAAGAATTCTTTGAAGCAGCATGCTTTTCTCATCAATAAGTTAACTTCCCAACTTGTTGGGCAAAATTTTCTGTTTATTTCTGACTTATAAACAGAACAGTCTTAAGACAATGGCAATAAAGGGGAGAAAAAAGAGCAGTAAGCAATACAGTACAGTGGGAGAAGAATTCAAAACTAATAATATGCAAGTTTTACAATAGGCTTTTGTTATTCATTCTTTTGATAAAGTTCTGTAATTTTTCTTATCATTCTAACATTGTAATGCGAGTCCTTACAACATCTCATCAAAAACCCTGATCTGTATATATGTTTCTCATTATTTAATTACCACATTATATTCAGCTTGGTGCTTTTTCACATTTAAGAAGCCTTTATTAGTCATGGCTCCTTTTAAATCCTGTAATAATTAGTTTATTTATTTGCTAATAAAAATAGATCAGTCATTGTTCTATTATTTAAATTCATAAGTGGTAATTCATTTTTCTTATCTTCCAGAAATATCCAGAAAGAGCTATTTACAAAGTATTGTACCTGATGATTAGAAGAGGAGAACTTCAACATCGTATGCAAAGAAAAATGTTATACAGGATTAAATGATCGAAAGTCTGGGGAATTATCTAATAAGATTTTGTATCTATATGATTTTTAACTTCAATATTTTGTATTAATTTCAGTTTTTTATAAATATTTGTTTTTCCTTGTGTGTCTGACTGATTCTTAAGAATTTCAGTTTTCAAAAGTGTGTTATTGTGTGAATGTATCCATTTTAAGAATTTAAGTTTAAAAAATTCAAAATAATATTTAAATTGCTAGAAACTGATGAACTATCAATAATTAGCGTTGCTCATTTTATCTCATATATAAATACAATAGAATTATAACAGGCAAATCTTGGGACAAGTATTTCTGCAGATTAGTAAATTTTGTGGTTTAGAAGTCATGTCTTTCTGAGATTCGTATACATCTTTTCCTTTCTAACGTATACTTTAATCTGGATTGTTTGTTCATAAATCACAGACTAAAATATAGTCGTATATTAAAAATGATTGAATACAAAGTTTTATATTTTTTAGATACAATTACATACATAACGATATTATTTTGAAATAAAAAAAAAAAGGAGGAAGATTAAATAAATACCTCTTCTTCTAAAAAAAAAGAACTAAAGAAGTTACTTTTAATGCAACATTTCAGCATTTGCTTGTATGGAGTTCATGATCTAGGAACAGCAGATATCTCTTTCAATTTAGCTCCACTTACATCTCTTGCTCTTAATTTTGGCATTATTTGCAACTGCCTTGTTCTTAATATTCGTGGTTGTTGCTTAACCCCTTACAGTATGAGTTTTTTTTTCGGAAAAACTGGTAAAAAATGATCGAATTTTTGTTTTGATAAAAAATGAATATATAGGTATAGTGTATGCTATTTTTTGAAATTTCAGTTGTGAGTTTTCATTCATTATACAAAGTGTAAATAATTTGATTACATGTTTATTTTGAATTTCAAAATATTAAAATCAAAATGTCATACTTAAAGCATAAGAATGGCTAAAAATTCAGTTTGATATGGTATACCATGAAGCATGGTATGGTACAAAGTCATACCATGCTTCGAAAAGGTAATTTATCCATAAAAATTGATATATTATCTTACACCAAACAACTGCTTATAACAGAATATTCCCAACAAACTTACAGGCTAATAATCGAAATGGACCGCATGGTTTATATAAGAAAAATGCTGCATAGTGGTGCCATCTATGTTAAATAACTTTAATTATAAGCTAACCTATCTATTTTTACTAGAACGGATCTTAGATGAGCATTAGAAATAAAATAACGGGAGATACAAGATCGTTTGTGTGAGGCATGGCCATGTGCAAATTTGCTGGTAACTTTTGCCCGTGTCTGACACAGTCAAGTGCATTAAGGGGTTAAAGTATTCATGCCCACAAATTCTTTCAGCTGTGTGTCCGTCTTCATCATTGTAGGCATTCAAAAAGATCCACAATTTGGGCACCAGTTGTTGCAAAGTGCAGGTTCATGAATATTCCTTAATAACTACTCTAGCTGAACAGGAAAGGACTTTTACTTTTTATTGAAACAAATAAACCTCATGCAAGGTAAACAATTATAAATAGTTCAAGTAGAAAAAGAGATAAGGCAAATTCTTTAAACATGAGGAGTGTCACTGATCAGCAAAAGCACTCTCAGAGAAAAGCTGAAAATCAATCATAATCATGCACTTCTGAATCAAATCACTGAATTCACTAAACCAGTTTTTGAAACGTAATATTTATAGGATTGCCTAGAACTTCTAAAACTTTAAAATTAAAGGGAGTTCTTGGTACTTTGAAAATGCACTTTTCAGAAGCTTCAAGAATATTGCAGAATGGCACAGAACAATTGAAAATTACCCAATTCTGAATATGTTGCGAAGGCCCATCAGGTGACATATCTTTACTTTTAATTAAACTTCCTTTAAAATTCAAATGTTAATTCAGAATCACAAAGTGTACCATATAATGTACAAAATAATCACTAATAAATAAGTGGCAACTAATTCAATTAAACAAAAGTGCAGAATAGAATTATAATATGCAAGATAATAAATAAGTAAAAAATAAGAATACACAACACTGTCGAAACACCCAAAATCCAAATCACAATCAAATAAACTCGAATATTTTTATAAATTTATACTTCTTTCCCTAAAAGGTTACATAAATGATGATGAACCTAAGAAAAAAAAATATCTGATTAAATAATAAAATGAGTTTAGCACTGCATTCTGAGATTGTATTAGCTATCAAAGATTTGTTTACTTTTCCTTTTGTAAACAAAACTTTGATAGCTAATTATGGTTGGCAACATGACCACCATTTGGAACAGTTCACAAGAAAGTCAATTTGAACACCACACGTAATAACATCTGCTGGGTTCTCTTTTGTTGAACAATAGAAGCACTTTGTCGGCTGTGTTAACTTCCTAATCTCGTTAACTCTGTTGGCGATGAAAGATTTCCCATTTGGTACTGGTACCTTTAATCCAGCATAGCACTTATTTTGGCATCAGTCCAATAAAATATTCTCGAAGATTTCTTTTGATCGAGCAATTTTTTCACTCCAGAACCTAAACGCGCTGCTAGTAATGCACCAAGTAATTCAAGACGAGGTAACGTAATTCTTTTCACAGGTGCAACATGACATTTTTACTTAAATGATGACACTCACAACACCACTTTGCCCACTCTTGACAGATATCTGTAGGTAGTTCATCATCCCATGTCAATTTTCGAACCCAAAGTTCTTGTAGCAAGAATTTAAGTCTAACAGTAAATGGAGTTATTAACCCAAAGGGATCAAAAATCTTCCCGGCAGTTTTCCAGATGAATCGTTTCGTATTATGCTTATTCTTGAGGAATTCCATCAAACTGTCTGTGTCTATACTCAGACTGTCTTCATTAGTATCCCAAGATCTTAAGTGTGTCGTTTGAGTCATTGATTTTATGTGGATGGATCTCGAAATCTTCTTTTTCCCATTTTCTCATCAGCTCAGGATCATTGGATACCCATTTACGCAAGTTCATATTTGCTGCACTCATAATTTGTTTAGCCTTACGCAATAAGCTTAGAGCCTCATCTATACTGTCCTGTCCAGTAATAAAATCATCAACATAAACACAAGAATTCAATATTTTAAATACATCTGGCTGCTCATCTCAATATTTTCTAATGTGTTCTTTAATTGTTGCAGCCAACAAAAACAGACTTTCCCAAAATTTACGTGCTTGAATCTATATGTCGCTAGTTTTAGATCATTTAATTGTGTGTTTCCCACAAACAGGAATCGCACTGCATCTTGATCCTTTTCTGCCAGCTCGTAACATATCATAAAAAACCTCTGTGCTGAGCAACAGGATTACTTTCTCTGATATATAAAATTCTGGATCCGCTAAATTCACCTTCTCAGGAATCGCAAGGTTACTAACATCGATAAACTTTGCGGGAGTTAAACCTGCTATTTTTGGAATTACCAAAACCTCTAGTTTCCTTTCATACGTTTGTTCCTGATTACAGATAAGGGCAACTGCTTTTCTTTTTATCGTAGTTGAAATACCTGATATACTGCAAACCGAAATGTTTGTCTTTTCCCTTTTTAAATTAAGTATGTCCGCTAATTCAGTGGTACAAAAACAAACACTTCCACTATCACATAACGTTTTCACCTTAATTAAAGTTCCATCATTAGTCTCAATGAATACAAAGGCAGTAGATAAAATCACGTTTTTCCCACTGTTAGTACCCCTAGCGGCTGTAAAGGTTTCGTTTTGAGTTTTAGCTTGAAATGCAGGTGCATATACATTTAACGCATTGCTGTTTTGATCATTCCAACTCCTGATCTAAAGTGTCTGCTCTTTCTACTGTGGTGCCAACGGAATTATTTTTGCTTTGATAACACAAGAGAAAGCTATGTTTTTTCTTACACTTCTTGCATAAGTAATTAGAACGGCAATTTCTCACACTGTGCAAATTAAAACAACAAAAATATAAATTCTGTTTTTTCACAAATTGGACCCTTTCTTTTACACTTAATTTTGAAATTTAGGACAATTAAAAAGCTTGTCATTGCTCAAATTACATAATCTACACGAATTCTGCATATGTTTTTCATTTGCATTAGAAACAACAGCGGTAACTCTATGTGTAACTTTTTTTGTGTTAGTCACAGTATTTGAAGCGTTGAGAGTTCTTGCATGACCTTTAAGAAATTCTATAAGATCTGTTAAATTAGGCAAATTCTCTTTCTCTAATTTTCTTTCCCGCCATATTTTGGTGTTAGGATTTATTTTTTGCACTAAAAATGTATGCAAACACATTGGAAGGGAAAAAACCGTTAAACACTCTGATTTAAAACTTCTAGTGATCTCACGCATTCATTTGTAATGTATAATAAGTTTAATATTGATGATGCAGACTCATTTTGCATAGGATGCATAGTCATAAATGGTCTCAGATGAGCATACGCTTGTTCACGGTGATTAGAGAACCTTTCTTCTAGTAATGAAAAGGCTAATTTATATTTAGAGTCAACTATGGGTATTGACTGCACAATACGATAAGCATCTCCTCTTAGTGCAGATTTTAAGTACTGTAATTTGACTGCATCTGTTATTATTAGGATTTGAATCAACAGTGGCTAAAAAGATATCTTTAAATGAAAGCCACTCGTGTAAGTTACCGGAAAACATTGGGAAATTAATTCTGGGTAATTTAACATTGTTCTCAGTATTCGTGCAAACCGAAAGCTCCGATTTAATTTCTTTGGAAAGTTTAGCTAATTTACGATTTAATTCGACTTCTACATCTAAGAGAATATCGTCAATCTCTTCTTTCTCTTTTACATAAACATCAATACTTTCTTCCGTACATAACCCGAACAAAGAATCGAAATTAGAACTTATTCTCTGTCTCAAACACTTTAAACTTATTCTTCAGTACTTCCAAGTCACTTTCCTTGGACATTTTCGTCCGCAACCTTTTTATTTTAATTTTCATTAACTGTGTTTTCAATGTACGTTTTTTCGCTAATACCTCCTTTAGTGACATTTTAATTAGCAAAAGTCAATAAACAAATAAAGATCTTCAAAATGGTACAATGAGCTTCAAAGGAGGAGAAGGTACTTACCCTTTTGTTTCTACAG